TCAATGTATTTTTGAAGCATTGAAGAAAACATAATAGTCTGGAAAGACGCAAACTTGATTTTGTAAACATCAAATACAATTTGCAGTGACGGTATTTCTTTTCGTAAACCTAAAAAAAAAACAATTAGTAGTTCAGAATGACCTCCCGAGGTGACGTCCCACCATCCGGTGAACCAGCTCTGGGTTCCGTCGAAGAAGGTGCTTCCGCTGGCGGCCAGGCAGATGGGCCTGATGAAGTCGTTGAAGGTCACGGGCGGGGAAAGCTTCCCCAGCGCCACATCGTTGTCAAAGGTGATCGGGTTGAAGTCAGGATGGGAGATGTTGAGACTGACACTGCGGATTTGCTCGTTCGGATTTGAGCCCGTCTGGCTGTGACGCCCCACAAACGCTGTCACACTTCCAGGTCTGCAAACAAACACACACACACACACACACACACACACACACACACACACACACACACACACACACACACACACACACACACACACACACACACACACACACACACACACACACCATTATCTGTTTTCTTTTTGTTTGTTTGTTTAATTGTAATTGATTTGATTAATTTGTTTTGTCATTAGCATCAAATTGTACATTCTGGCTCTATTGAGGCGAATTGAAACTTTTGGCGAATTGAAACTTGTGAAAAGTCCTGGGCTAATTTGGGGTTGGGTTACGTGTGCCTGTGTGTGTGTGTGTGTGTGCGTGTGTGTGTGTGTTTAAGCGGCTGAAGGAATGGAATAGCACTCTCTGCCTGCTCAGATGGGGGCGACTTTTAGGAATAAGAACCGTATAAACTGTCTGCGCGCGTGTGTGTGTGTGTGTGTGTGTGTGTGTCTCACGTGCTAAAGCAGTGCGCGGCTGACAGCACCCACTCGTCGGTAATGAGCAACCCCGAGCAGAAGTGGCCCCCAGAGCTGTGCAGGCTGACCTGCCAGGGCCACGCACCTGGGGTGGCCCCCGGATTGCCATTGTTGAGAGGGGCTTGACCGCACTCTGAAAACACACACACATATTGATGTGGGTCACAAAGCTGTAACATTCACCCCGTAAATACATCATGCACCATCGAAATGACAAAAAAAATCTAAAACAAAATGTTTGAATTTAATTTTCCTGGACATATTTTTTGAAGAAATAAATGAAGGGTGAAGGAAAGAAAAGAATTGGAGGGAGATGGAAGGAAAGTACTGAGGGGAAAAAATGAAGAAGGATAAAAAGGAGATGGAAGGAAGAAAGGGAGGCAGTGCAAAAGGCAGCAAGTAAGGCAAGTAAAAATGGAGAGAGGAAGGAAAGTGTTGTCAGGAAGGGAAGAAGCGAGGCTGCGACTCACCTTGCCCTCCGCATTCTAAAGATGAAAAAGACAAAAAGAACACATCCAGATGTCATACAAAATTGTTGACATTTCATGGGCAGCACATGCCGATTCGTTTCCTTCATCAATCAGTCAAGTCGTGCTGACTGCTGACAAGTAAACGCAGCGTCTTGACGGAATGCAGCCTTTGTTTTAAAACGAGCACATTCTCTTCCATCGCAAAAGGTGTGTCGCGAGTCTTGACTCAGTCAGCCAAACAAAAAAGGGTGTCTCCAAACTCAAACATTTCACCTACTGTGGTGCAGAAAGTCAAACGTGCTTCCCTGTCAATCTGACCATTTGCCTTCAATCACAGCATAATTCTCATCAGTCATCATTTGCTGCTTTTCATTAAGAACAACCCATCCGAATGCATGCACTCTGGCCATCATGCATGAAAGAAGGATGGCGTGGAAAAGTCCTTTTCTGACCCATCCCAACCCCAAAAAATGAAAAACATCTCACCTGTGATCATCCCGAACAGTAGCAACGCGGTGAGGGTCAGCATCGACATATCCATGACAACAAAGCTTAAAGATGCCTTCCAACCTCCGCCACCGTCAATAAATGCCCGCCGCAGGACATGCCCACACTGCAAGACACAGCCTACAAGGACCTGTACTGGAAAATTTCGACCAATAAAAGGCTGAGGCACCTGGCCTGGCTGCCTTCCAGACTTGGCATGCTACCCCAACAAAAACATTTTGTTTTCCAGTTTGGCACTTTTCCTCCAACCTCAACCAACATATCTTACTTTCTTGGTATTTGTTCTCCACCCTCATCATTTTCACTTGGCCGAGGTGTGGCACCTTTTGTAACAGCGTTTAACCACACGACAACAATTACGTACCAAAACACAATAATTTTCACTTATGACTTGGTGCGAGACAGTCCTTTATTGAGCTCTCTTCACTTTATTGCGCTCTTTTTCAGTCCCTTCCAATAATTATAATAATCATCATCATCATAATGACTCCAGTGATTTTCGGCTTGTTTTCTGGTGGTTTTTCGCAGATTCTGGAAGGGACATTTTTAGATCGAATAGAGGCTGTTTGCACAGGCGAGGTGAGGCTGAGCGAGCTGAAGGCGAGTGGCACAACAAACCCATCCATCCATTGGTCCATCCATCCATTTTCTAATCCGCTTAGCCTCACAAGGGTCACGGGTGTGCTGGAGCTTATGCCGGCTGTTTTCAGGGCAGTACACCCCAAACCGGTTGCCAGCCATTTGCAGTGCACACATCGACGAACAAACATTCGTACTCACAATCACCCCTAGGGACAATTTAGAGTGTACCATTAACCTAAGGTGCATGCTTTTGGAATGTGGGAGGAAACCAGAGTACCCGGAGAAAACCCACGCAGGCACAGGGAGAACATGCAAACTCCACACAGGAAGGCCGGAGCCAGAATCGAAAGCCGCACCTCTGCACTGTGAGGCCGACGTGCTAACCAGTCGACCGCCGGGCCGCGGTCAACAAAGCGTTTGACCCAAAATCCAGTGACAAAAGGCCCAAAACTGACCAAGGCTACCGGGGCCCGTGGGGAACAGGTGCAAAATGGTGTGATGTGGACAAAGCAATCACTCCAGTCATTTTAAGGAGTGTCTTTGTTTCGATTCCTTCATAGCTTCCTGATACTAATTACATAAAACAAAACGTCTGTGGTGGTGATGGGAATTTTACTCGCCAACTTCCTGACTCTTTGATGTTGCCAAGTATGAAGCAGATAAACAATAACACTCACATAACAATGATGTCATTTTCTGTTTCTTTGTCTCTGGGTTCCAGCTGAAGCGGTGGGAGTTTCCCTCCAGCGGTGCACCTGCCCCGCATCTTCATGAAGGTAATTCGCCTTTGCTCAGGACGTTGTCACCAAGTGCAGTTTCCTTGACGTTCCACTTTTTGCGCCGTCGTTTCCTTCATTTATCTTTTCCTTGCGCATTTTGGTTTCTCTCGTTTTATCCCGGATTATTGTAACCAGTGTCATTCGTTGGACTTTGTATCAGAGTCTTCGTTTGTCGAGTCCAATTTTGTCCCAAACCTTTTGGACATCCTCACAGACGGACAGTTATCAGTCTCTCGATGTGCTGTTGTAAAAATGTAAAATATTAGAGCAGATTGGGGGGAAACCAGTTTTACAACAACACTTGACAAATTTTACTCTGAATTTTTGAGCGGTCACGTGATGTGAAACCTAAATGCTTTGTCTCTTCTTATTCAATTTGTTCTACATGATGTCTATTACCTTGAAGGAATACATTCTACATTTTCTCGACCCAATTTCACACTGTACGTCCTTAAGTGAGTGGCCACCGGTGGTTTCACTTCTCCCCCTAGCAAGCGGACGGCATTAGCAGTCCAGGTTTTTATTAGTCCGTTTTATACGCCCATATTTTATGCTGCGAAGTTTATGTGCTTCTGTTTTTTTTTTCCCCGCCCAGAAAACGAAGTGTGGCAGATGTAATGTCAAAAAGCACACCGACCGCTTTTGTACAAATTGACAGCAATCACAATGGAGAAATTTAATGAACAGGCTGTTGAGTGAATTGTCTCAATTTTCCCATCACTTTTTACTGACGATTATCTCAACTGAATACCATTCATAGAGCAATTAAAAGCCGTCCACAGCTGCAACAGTGCTTTGCATAAAAGATTGACGACGTGCGTGGCCGCAAACCGCAGTTGACGCCAGAGAAAAGCAAGTAGCACGGTAAATGAGGTTGAAGGTGATATTTATTCACATTGTAAAGATTCAAATGAATCACGACAGAAGACAAAAAGCACACCTGAGTGGGAGGGGCCTATTTACATGACAGCAGAAGAAGAGGCGGGGCCCGAGTTCAGTGAGGGAGGCTGGGGTTTTTTTTTTCACTTGCGCTTTTACTACTTGCTATCCGGCTGACTTGAAAGAAGACAATGAGGAGCTACATGATCACACAAATGAAGATGACAAGTGCGTGCGCGGTCAGAACACTGCAAGTCAGGAAGTCAGTATCGGTCGCGAGTGTGTGTGTGGATATAATTAGTGTGGTTCGCATTGCGAGTCTACTCGTTTTTCTTCTCCTTGTTCTTGATCAGCTTGTTAATTTCTCTCTTGGCCATGGCAGTGTACTTGGAGAAGACGCTGTGCTGGTTGAGGCCCGGCAGCAGCAGCAGCAAACTCACTGAAAACAAAAATGGGGCTTTTCATATCGTGGATCGAGGTAGTTTCCCAAAATGCACATTGAAAATCCTTTCATAGTGATGAGTAAATGAGAATATTGAAGAAAGGAGTTTGACAACGCCGGTTTAGCCATGGTCGTTGGTGGCGAGCAAGAAGTCTCTAGGCAGAAAATGGTCCAATAGAGACCAAGCCTATCATAAATGACTGGATTCACGTTATACACACATCACAGGGAATCGCATTTCGGCTGGGATGCAAAGCTGTCTTTTCAGTGAAAGGCTTAATTTTTTTTTTTTGCATAATGATGACAACATATTTTCACACTTGATTGCAAAGAAGAGAATCCGTGTGGTTGATTGAGTGATGGATCGTTCTCTGCCGTTTACATTTGATTAATGGCTCTCGAAGAAATAGAAGGAAAAAAATGCTTCATTATTTTATTGTAGATACAGTAAACAAAAGACACTGAAATATTTGATTAAAAATGGGTCAATTACTCAAATACAATTAAAGTAATCATGTTTTACATCTACAGTTGGGGGAGAGGGAATCTTTTGAGCTTATTTATGAACGATCTGTTTCATCTTCATAATCAAATGTTTCAATGTGTACTCTTGACTCACCGATCAGGTAAGTGAGCAAGAGGTTATGCACTTGCTGTCCGATCCAGGCCAGCGCCAGCAGACTGCTGATCACTGACGTAAAGTACTGAAAACGACAACGGGCAACACGGTCAGTGGCGGCCATTTTTGGGCCTTTTTAAAAAATATATATTTGTTTGTTTTTACCATCTTCGGCTTCTCCTCCTTTAGTGTGCACAGGCGGCGCCACCAGCCCAGCAGGCGGCGCTGCATCTTCACCATGTTGCCGCAGATCTCGTGGAAACGTTGCTGCTGCTCTGTGGTCCTGACGTGCACAAACACAGTGAACGCAAAGTGGTCTGCTGCACGCACAGCACTACTCTGCTTCATATTTTTTAAAACGTGACATCATAGGACTGACACTCAGGAAGTAGACATGGACGCAGTAAGTGGGCAAACCTGGACAACCAGTACAAGAGTATCAAGGAAGTAGACGCTCTTCTCACCACTTGTTGGAGCCAAAGACTCTGGGAGCCAGTGTTGGGACCAGGTAGTCGGCCAAGCACAGCAGCATGACGCCACTCGACACGCCCGTCAGCACGGACGGGTCCAGATAATAAATGAGCCTGAGTGGGATAACAGGAAGTTGATGTAAGATGTACACCAAGTCACTCCTCAGCCACCACAAAGGGGTCTCTCTCCTCTGCCCCTCGTTTTTCCGTATCGAGGAGTATGCCATTTGATGAGTTAAGCGGTCAGAGGAGTTCTGCAGATATCGTCCGGCAAACTCACAGGAAGAGCGCGGTGGTGGCGGCCACGAGCACTCCAGGAAACCATGGCTTTTCCCAGCGCAGGACGCGGTCCCCCGCCAGGATCACCTCTCCCCATGCCTGAAGCTGCTCCTCGAGCTGTGCTGTTTCCTGCGCCTGCGCAGCAAAAGAGCACTTTTTTTTTTAATCCCATTACATCACCCCTGATTTTTGTCAGTATTTCAAGTCAAGTACAACTTTATTGTCAAATATTCTGTATGTGCAACATACAACATATGTGCAACATACAGCACAGATGAAAATTTCCTCCTTCTCAACCAGACAACAAGAGGAGCTGCTGCGGGTGCCCGCGCCGCCATCAAAAGAACAGTTAACATAAAATGACCAAATAATACAACACAACACATAAGACAGAGACAGTCGTGCAATCGTAACCACTTTTCCTACATACACTTTGTTGTGTGGAGCAGTTATAACTGAAAGAGGAGCGAATCAAAGTGTCCTTTTCACCAGTGGAGCAAAGAGGTCATGCTGAAAATGTGCATGCAAGTTAAATAACTTTAGAATGTTTTGGTTGTGGTCCCCAAACTATTTTGCCTAAAAATGTTGGTTTGGAGCCTTTAATTATTGATAGGAAATCGGAGCTACATAAGTTACAATTGACAAATTGTTTTCTCTCAAACCTCAAAACATGAGACTGCAAGTCACACGGTTAGCTTCGGGCAATGCAAGGCGGCTAGCTGCGTAGCATGTTAGCAGCGGTCGTCGTTAGTCAAGTAGCAACAGCAAGTTGACAAAAAAAACAACAAAGTAAACTAAAATAAGAAGAAGCCTTGAATGGCTGAACGCAATGACACAGAAAATAGTGTGCGTACTACCGGCAGGACGGCGGAGACTAGCCGCCGGGAGCTACCAACCGAGGCCCGTCAGAAAGCACCAAAGCCGCCGGTTAGCACAAGAAGCGATGCAATAGCGGCAACAACTTCATTTTTCTACTAACCAGCATGTTGGCACTCTTGTTGTCTCCTTCGACCATGGCTGCTCAAGTAGAAACTTGGTTGAAATGTCTGTGCTTTTAAAATCTCAACAAAATAAAACAAGATCTTCGAATAGCGAGATACAGAAGCTGTCTACGCAGCGTCACTAACGGCTAACGGTTGCAGCGGCCAGACGAGTTACAAGATGTTTTTCATCCGGTGCGTCTGCGAATCAAAAGGGGCGCTGTGCATTATGGGAAATGGCGTTTCATTTGCGATTTTATAAACTTGCGTGATCCCGAGGGCCTATCAAAACAGTACAGAGGGGGTTATTTTGTCTCAAATTAATAATAACAGAGACACAAGATTAGTATTATAGAATGATGGACGCCCGCTTCTGCCCGTTGAAAAAAATAGGACAATTACATACATAAATAAATATGTACCCGTGATCCTGGTGAGGCTTAAGGGTTCAATAAAAAAAAAAAGCGTAAAAGGATTGTTTTTGTTGCTTTTCCTAATTTTTCATTCTGTTTTTCATTTTTTAACTGTTGGAAACGTAATATTAATAACATAGATTAATAACAAACATGTGTCTTAAGTATGACTTAAATTATTGATGGGGAGATGAAGCCACAGGAGACTTGGCACCATTACAGCCATTTGGTTCCATTATTTGTTCGTTTTTTCATGTTTCACGTACGCAGGAAACCACCTGCTGGCCATGTATAGCATTACAGGCAGCTACAGTTTACCCGCACGATGTGTGATGCACTTATGCATATACTTTATATACAGTGTGTGTGTGTGTGTGTGTATATATATATATATATATATATCTGTGTGTGCGTGTGTTAAATGAATATGTTAACTTGTTTATTTCATTATTTCATTCCGCAGCATGGTGGAATCCCAGTGAGAGGAAGTCACTCAATTTCCATGAGACCCTGAACATAACCGCACTTTATCCAGCGCGTTTTTGTGACGTACACGTCACGTGGTTTTTGCTTCGTCCCTCTTTCGCTTGCGTTCGCACTTGCTAACGGAGCTAACAAAGCTCATTCGGTCTTCTTTTGTCAGACTTTTCATAGACAAGCGGTGATTACACGAGCTGCAAATAGAGACAAGGACAAGATTATTTCATATTCGTAGCAGCAACGTTTTTCTCCGGCAGCGGAGAAAAGTGTGGTACGTAACAACCGATTTAGCTCACCTACCAGCTAGCCGCTAAATCCTTGTTAGCTAGGCCTGTTCAGTTGTTGGGGCCGTGGCGATGTTCGAAATATAACACATTCATCCAGCACTTTCCCTTCTAAGTAACTGTTGCGTCTAGTTAATGAACACACATTCACTTTTTCTCCCCTAAACGTAATTTTTGTCTTAAATGTCATTCGGATGCATTTTTTGCGCACGTGCTGAAATCGTATTCATACAATGCTGAAATGAGGGAATAATTGATAACGAAATGAGGTGTCAATGGCCAAGGAGTCACAGTGGTCTCCGTAGCCCACTCTTGAAACTATACCTTGGACGAGTGACTTTAACAATGAACATGCCGTTTTTTTCATGCACTTCCCCCAAATGTTTAACGCTGTAAAAAAAAAAAAAAAAAAAAGTATGTTCACATAAAACTTACAAGTTGGTCTTTTCAGAAGGGTTTCCATTTTGGCCTAAATAGAGGTGCAACTATTTGATTATTAGAAAACTATTCAGGTGTTAAATGAACAAGGAGTGACAAAATGTGTAAGGCAACATTTTTTTTTTTTGCCTCCTCAGAGCCGCGATGTACAACGGCATCGGCCTGACCACTCCCAGGGGCAGTGGCACCAATGGCTATGTTCAGCGGAACCTGTCCACGCTGCGGTCCAAGCGGCCACGCGATGACCGCGGCGGCGAGCGTGACGAAAAGGACCGCGAGCGGCTGGACAGTCAACTCAACAGGCAGCCCAATGCTGACATCCTGGAGCATCAGAGGAAGCGGCAGCTTGAGGTGGAGTGCGCCAAATTCCAGGACATGATGGAGGAGCAGGGGTAAGGAGACACTCATCATTGCCACATCGAATATTCTACGCCACTCTTTATTCGCATTCCACCACATTTTGATTTTCTAAAATGTTCATGCTAGCAAATGTTCATAACTAAAAATAACTAAAAATCAAATGCTAGCAAATGTTCATAACTAAAAATAAAAGCTGTAGCCTTTTCTCTCTCTCTGTTTTTTTCCCCCCCATAAACATTGCTGTCTGTTTGCCGCCTCAGATACTCAGCAGAGGAGATCGAGGAAAAGGTGAACAGCTTCCGAATGATGTTGCAGGAAAAGCATCAGCCGCCGCCTCCCGCTGCTGGTGATAAAGCCAGGTAAGCCAACAACTATGTGCATTTTCCTGGCTCAAACTGAGATATGTGTTCCTATTCTCATCATTTCCCCCCATAAACCGTAATCTGGTAAAACTTGATTTTGCAATTAGCTTTTAATGGAATAAGTGATGGAATCAAATATTTGATGGTGTGAATTATTGGGATTTTATTGAGCAGAGTGTTTTTGGTCTGCTCAGCATGACAGAAACTCACGCCCTGGCGGCGGCTAACCAGCAGAAGAACGACCGTCTCCGAGCTGCCTTTGGCATATCTAGCGACTACGTGGACGGCTCGTCCTTCCACGCCGACCGCAAGGAGAAGGAGAAGGAGAAGCGTGAGCAGGAGCGCCTGGAGAGGGAAAAGCAGCAGCAGCAGCAGAAATACACGTGAGCTCAAAGTAGCAGGAACTACGAAGATCACTTTTTGTCAGGGGACAAGCGTGAGCAATCTGGCGCTGGCGGTAAAATATTGTTACAAACTGCCAGCCAAACTCACATTTTGAAACATAGTTATCTCCCATAAAAGAAAATATCCACCATTACAACAATGCTTGGTGCGTATTCCTGCAAGTTATCCAGAGCTGATCCCTCCGAACACTACTCTAGCTCTTCATCCCTTAAAAGTGTGCGTGCATATTCACTTTTCTTTTGTCTAAAAAATAAACACCCCTCAAAAATTGTGATCAACGGCCCTTAGCACAATTCCATGTGCTGTCCCGCAGGTTGGTGGAGGACTCGGACAATTCAGATTCGCCACCAAAGAAACGCAGTCGCAAGAAGAAAAAGAAGAACAAAAAGAGAGCCGGGTGAGACAAGATAAAATAGAAGCCATCGATACCTAATTTTGACATCAAGTAAATCTTATTCGCCATAAGTTGGCGCTACACAGCAGCAGTTTGACACGTTGGGAAATCCTCACGTGTCAGAGAGACCAAAAAGTCTTTGCTCACAATTATATGTTTGTGTTAGTTGAAGTGTTATGTATCACAAGTACTCTTAGTGTTGGTTCTTGGCTTAAAGGCCACCGCCTCTTCGGTAGCTGTTTTTCTGTTGTTTTTAGGCCTGAACACACCGTTTTTGTTTGAGCAAACGGAACCAACGTCAGTTGAAAATGTCATCACAATATGTTGTTGCAGCTCACAGAGTCCCTCGCCACCCCCTCGCAGAGACAAAAAGTCCAAGAAAAAGAAGAAGAAACGGTATTTCACTTTGATTCAATGTGTCCCAACTTGACCATGCTCAAGTCTGAACTTCTAATTTTCTTTTTCAGTGAATCCTCGGTGGAAGAGGAAGAAGACAGGTAAGGACTTTGATGTTCTTGGCTGGCAGAAGTATTCGCAGTCTGTACTCAAAGTGAAGTGTATTTCTGTAAAAAGTAGAAGGACAGATTCAACTCCTTTAACCGAAGTAAATTAGTACAGATAGATTAGAGAAAACAGGTTTTTAAATGTTGGGAATAAAAATACAGGCTTATCAAAAAAATTAATGTAGACCGAAGTAAATTAGTACAGATAGATTAGAGAAAACTTTTAAATGTTGGGAATAAAAATAAAGGCTTATCAAAAAAATAAATGTCAGAATAAAGTATTTGTCCTTGGTTACTTCCCACGACTGTTGACTGTTGTCGAACGGGTGAAGAGAAACTATTGCTTCTCTCCTCAGTTCCTCAGATGAGAAGCAGAAGAAGGCGTCAAAGAAGAAAAAGAAGCGCGTGAGTAAAAGTCCCGCAAAGACGAAGGCAGTGCCACAGCGGAGCGCCTCGTCAGCTTCGTCCCGCAGGTGTGACACTTGACCTTGAATTACTTTTTTTTTTTTTTTTTACTTTGTCATCCATTTTATTCACTAAACAGAATGTCTTTTCGGACGTTAACAGTCGCTCGCCTGTCGTGAGTAAAAGTCCCGCAAAGACGAAGGCAGTGCCACAGCGGAGCGCCTCGTCAGCTTCGTCCCGCAGGTGTGACACTTGACCGTGAATTACTTTTTTAAAAATTTTTTTTTACTTTGCCATCCATTTTATTGACTTAACAGAATGTTTTTTCGGACGTTAACAGTCGCTCGCCTGCCTTTACTGACCGCTTACAAGGAATTGCAGTGGTACCTTGATTTACCAATGCCTCGAGTTTTTCCACTTACAAGCAGTCTATTGTTTTTTTTGTGTTGCCGCCCAATATTTCAGGTACAGACAAGTTTCAGATAGGCTATCGGTCAAGTGAAATGGGGGAACAAACATGGAGCATACCCTCTCATGCGGGCGAGGGCATTTATCTGTTTTGGATGGATGTTTGCTGATGACAATTCAAAATGTTTATCCTTCGTATTAATTCAATGACATTTTTACCTTCAACTCCCATTAATTTTCATTCGAATGTTCAACTTGCAATATTTCCCAAATTCTGGCCATGACAGACCATCAGGAAATTTCCCAGCGGCCAGAGGAACGGTAGATAACCGCTAGCTTCGAAAGCCAGTGGTGCCACAGATTACATCATTGAGAACCTCAAATGTTTTGAAGTCGTTGCTCGATCTCGAACTGAGGTTGAGACCCGATTCAGAGATAAGGGCCGCACGCCCAAAATGTGATGTCGCATAGTTTTGTGGCAATGCCTCGTTTAATGGTGAAATTTTTAACCAAGTCTCGCATGGACCTGTCTTACCGACATTGTGGTTTCCAGGTCTCTCATCTACTAGCAAGGCTTTAGCGGGGGACTGTGCTAATGTTAATGAGACCGATTTTCATTTGAGTGGGATAGTCAGTGCTATCTGCCCCCAGTGTATTCCTAGTATTCATATTAATAGCACTCCTTTATTTATGTACTTCAAATAACTGTCACCATCATTCGAATGTTCAACTTGCAATATTTCCCAAATTCTGGCCATGACAGACCATCAGGAAATTTCCCAGCGGCCAGAGGAACGGTAGATAACCGCTAGCTTCGAAAGCCAGTGGTGCCACAGATTACATCAGTGAGAAACTCAAATGTTTTGAAGTCGTTGCTCGATCTCGAACTGAGGTTGAGACCAGATTCAGAGATAAGGGCCGCACGCCCAAAATGTGATGTCGCATAGTTTTGTGGCGATGCCTCGTTTAATGGTGAAAATTTTAACCAAGTCTCGCATAGACCTGTCTTACCAAGATTGTGGTTTCCAGGTATCTCATCTACTAGCAAGGCTTTAGCGGGGGACTGCGCTAATGTTGATGAGACCGATTTTCATTCGAGTGGGATGGTCAGTGCTATTTGCCCCCAGTGTATTCCTAGGATTCATATTAATAGCACTCCTTTATTTATGTACTTCAAATAACTGTCACCACGGCAGGAGAGAGGAAGAGAGGAATGCTGGGAAGCGAGACGCGAGGACCCGACACGACTCCTCTTCCCCTTCGCCTCCCAGAGCGGACGCCAGGACCACTCGCAGCAGAGGCGACACGACTCCTCTTCGCCTTCGCCTCCCAGAGCGGAGGCCAGGACCGCTCGCAGCAGAGGCACGCAACGAGAGGAGGAAAGGGATGCCAGGGAGCGGGGCACAAGGACCCGACGCGGCTCCTCTTCACCTTCACCTCCCAAAGCGGACGCCAGGACCGCTCGCGGCAAAGGAGAGGAAGAGAGAAACGCTGGAAAGCGGGACACGAGGACCCGACACGACTCCTCTTCGCCTTCGCCTCCCAGAGCGGACGCCAGGAACGCTCGCAGCAGAGGCGCGCAACGAGCGGAGGAGAGGAATGCCGGCGAGCGGGGCACGAGGACCCGACGTGACTCGTCTTCACCTTCACCTCCTAAAGTTGAAGCCAGAACTGGTCGCAGCAGAGGAGATGAAGAGAGGAACACCGGGACGCGGGACACGAGGACCCGACACGGCTCCCCTTCGCCGACACCTCCCAGGATGGATAGCGGGACCGGTCGCAGCAGAGGTGCGCAACGAGGGGAGGAAAAGAATGCAGCGAAGCGCGACACAAGGGTCAGACGCGACTCCTTGTCCCCGTCTCCTGAGAGGAGGAACAGGGGAGACGCGGTGCCGACGTCCAAGAGCAGAGAGGCCCCAAAGAGAGCGGACGCATCCTCTCGCCCTCCTCCTCGTCATTCTCGTTCGCCGCCTTTCAACGGACGCCAGGACAAAAGTCGAGAGGACGGAGGGCGAATGTCCGACCAGGCAAAGGGAAGTCAGCGCAAACCCGACGTCAAGACCAAAAGTCCTCCAAAGCAGCAGGTGCAGGAACAAAAACAGTCCGGCAGTGACAGCGACTCCTCTTCCTCCTCATCTTCATCCTCATCGTCCTCATCTTCATCGTCCTCCTCGTCGTCCTCCTCAGAAGACGAAGACCAACCCGAGACGAGAGAAAAGACAAAGTCGTCTTCCATCGGAGCGGGCGTTCAAAGGTTTGTCACCAATGGCCGCGCCGAGAGCTCACAAGAACCCCGAAGACCCCCCGAGCAGACGGACGACAACAAAGCGCGACCTGCTCACAGAGCTTCTATGGACCCACCTTCAGGCAAAAACCGGCCGGACCGCCAGAGTCCGCGGGAGAAGCTGAGCAGGAGGTCCCGCTCTCCGCCGGCCCACCGCATCACGCCACCCAAGCAGTACCAAGACCCCCTGCCCCGCTTCAGGAAAAGTAGTCCTCCTCCAGCCCGCCCCAGGGACCGAGAGCGAGGATGGGAACGGACCGCCAGACGCAGCAGGTCCAGGAGCCCCAGGAGGCGCAGCCCGCTGTTCAGGTACGAGGTTAATACACAAGTTGGTGCATGTCATTACCAACTCCCTAATCGCGATGTCGGGATTTCGGGGGCATTTTACTCATCCGAAAGTTAAAAATCGTCAGAAAAGTTTGGGTGATCGGCAGTTGGAATTGTAAGGATGTTAAAATTAGAACAAAGTTATAGGCAGGAGAGCTTTATATCATGGGAACTCAGGTCATTTTCCATTCCATGACCGAACATCCGTTTCTCCCGCAGGAGCCGCCGCCCACCTTCGCCGCCCCCCAGGAGGCGCAACAGTCGCTCGCCAGTCAGGAGGCGAAGCAGTCACTCGCCCGCGCCGTTGCACAAGAAGCCGTCCAGTCGCTCTCCTTCACCGCCGCTCAGGAGGAGGAGCAGTCGCTCACCGGTGAGGAGGCGGAGCAGTCGCTCACCGGTGAGGAGGCGGAGCAGTCGCTCACCGGTGAGGAGGCGGAGCAGTCGCTCGCCAAGGGGAAGGCGGAGCAGTCGCTCAGCGTCGCCACCAGTGAGGAGCCGTCCCAGTCGCTCGCCGTTGCCCCTGAAAGGGAGAGGGCCGACCGGTCACTTGCCAAAGGGGACCGCTCACTCGACGTCTTCAGAGTGTGTCCGCACGCAAGCTAGCCAAGTAGAGAAGCCGCCAGGCAGGCAGGAGCCCCGAGCGCCACCCGAGAAAAATGCTAATCAGCCCAGATCGTCCTCGTCTTCTTCCTCCGGCTCCTCCTCGTCGTCGTCCTCCTCCTCCGCCTCGTCCTCCTCGTCTTCACCTTCGCCGCCAAACAGGAAAGACGCAAATCCTCCAGAGCGGGAGAAGAGAAACCAGCAGGAAGACGAGAGGCCAGAGCACATGCTGGGTAAAAGCAGGTCCAACTCTTCAACGGCTCGCGAGGCCGCAGCGGTAGAGCGAGGCGCCGGTGACCAATCGAAGCGGAGCGAATCGTCGAGAGCCATAAACAGAAAGTCGTCACCAGCCCAGCAAGAAGTGGTCGCCGAGCGCGGCGTCAACGGGAAGGAATCCCCCAACAAAGGAAGCCGAAGCAGCAGTTCTTCGTCTTCTTCCTCTTCATCCTCCTCTTCATCCTCCTCTTCGTCCTCCTCAGACAGCTCGGACTCTGAGGTGCAACCAGGAAAAGGGTACGCTGGAAACAGGAAGGGTGTCATCATTTGATCTCGATTCCTAATATATGTCTTTTTTTTTTTTTCCTCTCTTAACAGGAAAGTTAAAGCTCAGCGTTCCCAATCTTCATCCTCCTCAGATGCTGAAAAAGACAAGAAGGACAAAAGGTAAGAAGCTAGCCAATTGAAATCCGTAGGAAATTAAAATGGTCATAAATGACTTTTAAGTTCAAATCATCCGCAAGTTTGTCATTGTGACGTTAAAACCATCACATTACAATCATTTGGTAGTTGAACTTCTGAGGAAGTTGAAATGGTCAGGAAGTTAAAAAAAAATCATAAGATCAAATCAGGAAGTTAAAATCATTGGAAGGTTTAATTTGTTGCAAACTTGAAATCATCAAATTGTTACAATCGCCGGGAAATATAAAGTTGAAAGCATAAAAGTAAAGCCGAGGGAAGTTAAAATCTTCAGGAAGTTCAACTCAAAGGAAACCCGTAAACATTGGGAACTTTCAATCAATACGCAAGACATCCAATTACTGGGAAATGGGAAACTTAGGGAAGTTGAAAAGTTTTTCTCACAGAGAAGTGAAACGAAAGAGATGTTGAAATAACTCGTGAAATTGAAATCATCAAGACGTTGAAATCATCTGAAAGTCAAAGTGATGGCGTTGAAGTGAATCTTGTTTTTTTTCTGTGCGACAGCGGCGTTCCGCGTCGCAGGCTTCCTGCCGACTCACTGCGAGATTCCCGCTCTCTGAGTTACTCACCTCCCCAACACATGCAAGGTGCTGCCACCGTAGCGGGACGTAGGTCAGGAGGTCGGCCTCGCTGATCCCCCTCCGATAACCCGCCCTGTGAACTTTGACCTTAACAAGCTCCTCCTCCTACTTCTCCTGACTGCAAAAAGTGAAGCAACCGGAGCAGGAAGCAAAGACACCACACCTGCTGCACAACACTTATCCTTGTCGTGACAGCCACCACAGAGTGGACACGTCATTTGGTCGTCATGTGACTTCTGGTGTTCTCGTCATGTCCTGGCTTGACTTCCTGTGTATCGGACCATGTGACTTTGTTTCGTTAGGGTTCTGAAAGATGATAATAAACTTAATTGTACATTTTAGTGCTGTGCACTTGGTTGTCATTTCCCCTTGATGCGTAGTGCTTGAGGATTTGAAAAATGAATCAACTTATTTTGTTCCTTTTATGGCCTTGATGAACGTCAGTATGAAATGAGCTGATCACTTCAAAGGTAAAAACGCACATAATGTTTTTCTTTCTATCAAATGGGACGGAAGCGGTTAATCACTGAGGCAAACTTGACAGTTAAGCGAAAAACCAGTGAAACTTTCATTTCCCCTAAATTCGTCTCACAGATTGTCAAATGAAATCGTGGGATTTTTTTTTTTTTTGGGCTGTTAGGTGGGGGGCAAGTGTAAATCAAATGAAATCGTGGGATTTTTTTTTTTTTTCTGGGCTGTTAGGTGGGGGGCAAGTGTAAGGCGCCAGCAAGATCAATTGTACTTGTTTATAAATACAAAGTTAAAAAAAACTATTAATTTGATTCTAATATTGTCGGTTAATATTAAGGGCTTAGAAATAAAATAAGTAAATAAAATGTTTTGTTTCAACTCCTAACGTTGCTGTCGTGTCTTTTCCGCCGACATTGCTTTATCCCAGGCGCCGCAAAGGCAGCGTGAGATGCTTGGGAGAGCGGCAGGCGGCTCATCAGGGTGGTCGACAATCACGCCTTTCGAGGCATTTCGTCTCTGTTGCTCATTTGGAGACCCCGACGAGTTCAACGAGCCGTCCACGCTTCGGTGAGTTTGACACATGCGAACGAGTTTACGCGAGTGTGCCGACAAGTTTTCTTGTCCGCAACAGGCCTGAGGACATCAAACAGACTTCGTTTCGACGTTCGACATCCTATGTTTTTTCTACTTACTCCACCATGTAAATATTACTTAATTTCACAGTTGTGTTGTTACTCTCGTGGTTGTGCTAAAGCGAGTGCTTTGGGTTTGTCGCCGTTTTTACCGTTCATGACTCAGTGAGATTGCATCAAACGCGAGCGCTAAAACTCCCGTGACATGTTGAAATTGTGAGCTACAATGAGCGAATATGTATAAAAGATACCCCGAATGGAACATGATCTCGAAAGACGCAATTTGGCGTCTAAACGAGCGACAATGAGATGATTTGTTTCGTTGATGACTTCGTTTTTGGAAAAAAACGAAGCAAGTTTGACTCCAAGCCGGAAGGTGTGTAGGGATTGTGACGTCATCATAACGTTTTTTTTCCCCCCCAAATGTAATGTGTGTGTGTGTGTGTGTGTGTGTGTATGCGCTAGCATTTCCCACGTTAGCATCATAAAAGCTGGTGTTTTCAAAGTGAAAGTTTACGCGAGTGTGCCGACAAGTTTTCTTGTCCGCAACAGGCCTGAGGACATCAAACAGACTTCGTTTCGACGTTCGACATCCTATGTTTTTTCTACTTACTCCACCATGTAAATATTACTTAATTTCACAGTTGTGTTGTTACTCTTGTGGTTGTGCTAAAGCGAGTGCTTTGGGTTTGTCGCCGTTTTTACCGTTCATGACTCAGTGAGATTGCATCAAACGCGAGCGCTAAAACTCCCGTGACATGTTGAAATTGTGAGCTACAATGAGCGAATATGTATAAAAGATACCCCGAATGGAACATGATCTCGAAAGACGCAATTTGGCGTCTAAACGAGCGACAATGAGATGATTTGTTTCGTTGATGACTTCGTTTTTGGAAAAAAACGAAGCAAGTTTGACTCCAAGCCGGAAGGTGTGTAGGGGTTGTGACGTCATCATAACGTTTTTTTTTCCCCCCCCAAATGTAATGTGTGTGTGTGTGTGTGTGCTAGCATTTCCCACGTTAGCATCATAAAAGCAGGTGTTTTCAAAGTGAAGCACTTATTGTCGTTGTTATTTTAAAACGTCAAATAATTTGATTTGATGCTACCTATATGAACACGTGAGCGATAGTTAGCGATGCTGCGTTCTAGTTCCTTTGGAAGTAGGACTGTTCACTTGTTTCGTCGTTGTGGCTTTATAAACGTATGTTTAAGGGGGCTAGAAATGTCGAAGTCTTGATTTTCCATTCAGTGAATAACACACGAATTAGCGAAATTGGCGCCTTTTATTCGTGTCCAAGTCTTGACACTTTAAGTTAAAAAAAACTTGTTTCCCACCCATCGCACAGTGGTCGCGTTGTTTGCGTCTGCAATGCTAGCACGTTGATGACTTCGTTTTTGGAAAAAAACGAAGCAAGTTTGACTCCAAGCCGGAAGGTGTGTAGGGGTTGTGACGTCATCATAACGTTTTTTTTTCCCCCCCCAAATGTAATGTGTGTGTGTGTGTGTGTGCTAGCATTTCCCACGTTAGCATCATAAAAGCAGGTGTTTTCAAAGTGAAGCACTTATTGTCGTTGTTATTTTAAAACGTCAAATAATTTGATTTGATGCTACCTATATGAACACGTGAGCGATAGTTAGCGATGCTGCGTTCTAGTTCCTTTGGAAGTAGGACCGTTCACTTGTCTCGTCGTTGTGGCTTTATAAACGTATGTTTAAGGGGGCTAGAAATGTCGAAGTCTTGATTTTCCATTCAGTGAATAACACACGAATTAGCGAAATTGGCGCCTTTTATTCGTGTCCAAGTCTTGACACTTTTAAGTTTAAAAAAACTTGTTTCCCACCCATAGCACAGTGGTCGCGTTATTTGCGTCTGCAATGCTAGCATTGTTAGCATTAACACGCTCGCTCTTTTCTCAACAAAAACGACTTGAGTGTCAGTGAGTACACAATCGTTAGGAGTCGTTTACATGTTTCCAATATAAAGTCTTCAATCTCTATATGAACTCATCATTCTTGGAGGACCCCAGCTCCTTTTCCGATTGAACAGTGGGCAGACTTCCGCAGAGTAGGAAGTGCCTGTTTTAAAAGTTCAGGTGTGAAGTAAACTTGGCCAAAAATCTTTTGAGTAATACTTAGGGCTAAAATTATCTCCAGCATACTTTAGTTCGTATTTATTTTAGCGCAACCCACCCAGCTTCATAGTTAGACCCATAGCACCGCACTTTACAACGAAAATACATTTGTTCGGCAAGTGATGTCATTTCCTGAATGCCGAGTCGCCCCTCAGCCATCATAATGCATTGTTGATTGCCCTGTTAACTGCTATTTGCCATTGTTATCGAGTTATTCGGTGAAATGCCTCGGACCTGTGTGGTGATGCGCTGTTCACAGTCAGGCAAACCGCTGTTTGAGTGGCCAAAAGAAAAGAATAGGGCAGGCAAATGGACCAAAAATTTGGAACGATACATTTTCATTCTGGCAAAGCGAATGAATTTCATGCCGGTGTCGACAAGCATCCTCTGTTACAACTTACAAGCACTTTGGAAGATCTTTGTTTTCTCAACTGGATTTGCAAAAATGTAGGTGTGCTAATCATTGAATAACTCTGGCTGTGGTTTATGAAAACATTTGCTTCCAAGTGTTATACGTATACTGTACATGGATCTAATTCACAACTAAAACATTCGCGATGAAACTGACACCCGTTCTCCTTGAACAAGTTCTCTTTTCTGCTTTTAGCTCCTTCTTAACACAAGACCTCTTCTTCCTCTCTGTGTAGCCAAGTTGGAAGTGGCACTGAAAAAGAAGGAACACAATACCTCCCTTGCCTGAAGCTCCTGAACACTTCAGTGATGGAACCTCTGAGGAGCAGGAACATCATCTCTTAAGCCCTTCGTGTTTGCGTTGACCGTTTCCATGCTCCTCCTTCGTCGGCTGTCAGAACCTGGAAAGTTCGGACTCGGATTGCCAAAGTGAAACTGAAAGTCAGCGGGATGCCAGACACAGTAAGTAAGTAAAGTAAGTACATTTTGTTTGTATTTGGGAGCACTTTTCACAGGGAAGATTTGCAAAGTTTTTCACAAGAGTTGGAAAATGCCCTTTTAGACCAAAGACACAATCGCAACATTTGACATCGTAGGTCCACCGCACACGGAGCAAATGGTTCGATCAAAAAGGCAAATGAGCGTTTCATGTTTAAAAAACACAAAACTTCACTTTCATTGTCTACTTCGGCATCTTTGTTTTATTCTTTGTCATCTTTTGTCAGCTACTTCGTTGTCGTCTATTTTGCAGTCGTCGTTTACTTCATCCTCTACTTTGTTAGTTGTCTTTTCTGTTGTCTATTACAGGTCTAACAAATAATTGACAACTAATCATTATCAAATTAATTGATCATTATTTTTGGTAGCACTGGTCAACAAAGTTTTACTAATTTTTTTTAATCAGAGATGAAAGTAACTTGTAGATTATATATATAATTTGTTCAAATTCCAAATCTGTCCTCATTTTTTTTCTCTGACACATCAGCTTTTCATAATAATAACAACAATGATGTCGTATATGTAGTCATATTTATGAATTTAGGGTTATGTTCAGCAACAGAAAGGTCATAGTTACAATCCATATTGTGCAAGCTTTGATCGCTTGTGTGTAAGCTTTGATGCTCGGACTAAAACTAACTCAAGAGCAAAAATGTCCTTTGTGTTTTTAACAGTGTGTTGTCTGAGTTTTACTTTATGTACAGCGCCTTGTATGCAGCGGTGGTTGTTTTAAAGTGCTCTATGAATAAAGGTTTGTTGTCTACATTTGTTCTTTTTTTTTCACTTTTCTTCTTCTCTTTCATCTTGTTGTTGAGGAGGAGGAACCCAAAGATCAGTGCCGCTCATAGAGTGAGTGCTGTAGCGGCAGCGGGCGGTCGTGTCAGAAGTGCGACAGCGAGAAGTCAAGAATGGCAGGAAAAGACTACAATCACCTTTTCAAGCTGCTCATCATCGGCGATTCCAGTGCGTTTTGTTCCGTCTTGTCATTTGTCAATGTTCCCGCTCTGACGTTCCTCGCCATGTTTTCTTCTCGCAGATGTTGGGAAAAGCAGCCTGCTGCTACGCTTTGCCGACAATTCCTTCTCTGGTGCGTTTGAAGTACTCGTTCATCCACGTACATATATGTACATGTAGGGTTGTGGGGAAAATCTGATTTATGTGGGACACTTGGGTCACATAAAAAAGACAAATATGCTAGTGGTGTGGGGCTCTGTGCTACTTCAGGACCTGGACTGCTTACTTTTTCACAGCACTTTCTACTGTGTGTGTGTGTGTGTGGGGGGGGGGGATTAATGTCAAGAAGAATGCCTTAAAGCACAGGTGTCAAAGTCAAGGCCCGGGGGCCAGATCTGGCCCACCACACCATTTTATGTGGCCCGCGAAAGCAAAGCAAGCATGTCAAGTTCCATGATGCTTGTTTAAGTCTGAACCAAAATTTCAAATTGTCATATGTAATCCGCAACAGTCATTATTCTTGACTTCTGATTTTAAAACTAGTTATTCATCAATTTGTGGTGCGCTGGGTATGTAAAATGTGGAGCGGATTAAACATTGATATGGTTTCCCAAAATTCATAACGGCCCTCCAAGGGAAACCGTAACTACAATGTGGCCCGCGACAAAAACGAGTTTGACACCCCTGCCTTAAAGCATCATTCAAATAACTGGGTGCGCCAACAGGAAGTTACATCACCACCATCGGCGTGGACTTCAAGATCAGGACGGTGGATGTGGAAGGGGAGCGTGTCAAGCTACAAATTTGGGACACGGCCGGACAGGAGAGATTCAGGACCATCACCTCCACGTAAGCGCATCAAACACCGCGTCCACACACACACACACCTGTCTTCACAAGCTCAACTGTCGGTGTGCGCGTGCGGGCAGGTATTACAGAAACACGCACGGCGTCATCATCGTGTACGACGTGACCAATCCCGAGTCGTTTGTCAACGTCAAGCGCTGGCTCAACGAAATCTCTCAAAACTGCGACAGCGTCTGCAAGGTGCTGGGTGAGTCGGATCCGTTGCTTCTCTTGTCCGTCTATCCTATGACAACACTGCGGCTGTCTTCACAATCGTTCACGACACGTAGATTTTTATATACTTCATTAGATGGCTGATATTAGTTCTGAAAGCATTAATTGAGTATCTCCAAAACACAATAGAGTTTTTTAAAGATGGTACTAAATGGTTGAGAATTTGTTTTTTGTTTTTTTTGGTTACTTCAGTAGGGAACAAGAACGACGACCCGTCCAGAAAGCAGGTGGACACCCAGGACGCGCTGCGCTTCGGGGAGTCGGTGGGGGTGCGCGTGTTTGAGACCAGTGCCAAAGAGAACATCAACGTGGAAGAGGTCTGTTGCATACACAAGCATATTGCTGCGACTACAGGAAGGGGGGGGAAGTCAAACTTGGCATGTTTTAATGTGACATCACATTGAAAGGTGACGCTTCCATGAAACTGATCATGTTAGAACGCGACACGGTACAATGTAAAACCTTTTTTTAGTTTAGTGTGGCAGCAATACGCGTCGTAACCAAGGAGAAACCTTTGTGACCCGTTGTCTTGTGTCGTCGTGCTACCCGGCAGATGTTCATGGCCTTCACTCACATGGTCCTGCGGGCCAAGAAGCAAAGTCAGAGCCGGGCCGAGCGGGAACGTGAGCGCGAGAGGGACACGGTCAACATCAACGCGCATCGGGAGCGGGACCGCCGGAAGAGAGCCAAGAAATGCTGCTGAGAGGAAAAGCACAAGTTTGTTGTTGTATTGTTCTTTTTTTGTTTGTTTTTTTGCTCATCATCTCACGTCCGCACTGACAACTTCATTGGTGACTACTGTACTAGCGACATATTACCACATGTGAATACTGGAGTAGCATTAATACACACTAGTGCTGGGGCCACACTCATAAAATATACAGCTAATGTACTATGATTTTTTTTTTTTTTTTTTTTTTTAAGAATGAATTTGTAGATATTTTTAGATTAAAGCCAAAATACGACAAGAAGTGATTTGAGATTTATTGTAGACTTAAGTCGTATTGGCACAAAATCTGCAATGAAGTATTTTTGTCTTACATATTCATACATATACATACATCATATATTGATACATATTTTGGGAATATTCGGAGGAAAGCCAGACAAGCAGAGGTCGGTGCTTGTGTGACTTTTCTCCCGGTGCACCGATAAACTCCACATGAGAAGGCAAGAGCCCACATTCAAATCCTCAACCTCACCACTGTGAGACGTTCATGTGTCTAACCACTTGTGCATCGTATCAGATATGCAAATGTCAAAAAAAAAAAGTTTTGACTCATCTAGCATAACACCTAATATGATTAAAAAAAAAGTAGCACTTTAGAATCTTTTTTTTTCTTGTTGAAATTCTACAACAAATCTTGATAGTGCAGAACTCAGAAAAAAAAAATCCACATCATCAGGTCATGCCCAATTTTTACAAATATATAAAAAGCACCACTTTGATCTTAAAAAAAAAATCTTGAAGCTTCTTGATGCTATTAGGCAGATGTTAATTGTTGCACACATTTCCCAGAAAAAGCTTTTAGACCGACAGATTCTCAAAGTGTGGTGGTATGCAGGCTCCAAGTGATAAACCAAACAATCACTGAATTGTTCAATCTGCACATTAAACAGTGGAATCAAGTTTCAGCACACTATTTTTTTATTTGTCTCATAAAATGACTCGCAATTATGCTATTAGATTATTACAACAGCATTGATAGAAGAAGGAAAAAAAAGTTGTCTGGACAATCTTATTTTCTTTTTGTACTGTCGCAGATTTAGTCAGGTGGTGCGACGTCCTGTCAGTGTGGCCCTAGTACACATTTGTTTTGTTGTATTGTTTTGTTCAATGTGAACCAAAGCGCACGTCTGTCTTCCTGGCTCTGCGCAGGGTCAAATCAACCCGAAGCTGGCGCCGACACATTTGTATTGTTGCGCTTGTAAAAGGACAAAGAGGACAGCGCTAGAACGAAGACAAACAGATTTTATTTGAACTTATTGTCTTAACTGCGGTCACACTAACCCAAACATGATCAGTGGCTTAAATGTGTGTTAAAGGTATTTTTTTAAAAATGTAACTCTGTTGCCTAGCAAATGTACAAATAAAGTCTTCAACCCAAAATGATTTGGGACAATGTAAGATGTTCACCACATGCTAAAACCTCCGGGTCCCTGCACATTGACATCAACTGGAGGAGGAGTTGCAGCAAAACATGGCAATGCCATTTCTTGCTTAACGGATTTATTCTTAAAACAAAATTGCAATTGTTCTTGACTTTTGACAAATATGAAACATTACATTGACCAGTGCTTGTATGCAGCCAAAATCAGAGTGATTGATGCAGCTGTTTAATTGCCACAAGATGGCGGTAAAGTACCACATCAAGCTCCTCAACTCACTTCAACATACTACTTTCATTGCAAAGGGCCAAAACAATAAATGTAGAATATTGCCCCCCCCCAAACCCCCCAGAAAAACATCTGCCACTTGACAAATGCTTAACCATGAACAACTGAAATGTTAGCGAGTTTCATTTGTTTTTATCAAATCACCTTTCCCCTCCGCAATCAAATAAAATCCAATCAATTGGTCTGTTCCAGCCACCAAAACACATCTATTTGTGTTGTAAATGTGCATTTTGACTCCACAATATTGTCCTAACAGCCAGTTGGCGACGTTTGTTCTCCACCAAACAGCAGTGTGCCTAATGAACGGTCCTTCCTTCCTTGATTGGCACTGCCAATTGATCTTGCCCGAGGGATGAAAACAATCCTCTTGTCTCAAGAAAAAAAACGGGGCCAAGTGACATATCTGGGGAAAAATGAGCTCGTGCAGTTGTAGGAATCCCGATCTGCCAATGGGGCGTGAGCTTGGCGGGCCCCCCTTTTTGGTCAGGCGGTCTTGGGCAGCCTGTAGACGCCGGCGGAGTGGATAAGCTGTTGCTCGCGGACCTTGCGCTGCAGGAAGGCCTCCAGCTCGGCGGCGTCCATCTCCGTGACGGTGGGTCCCGACACCACGAACATCCGCAGCATGGAGTGGATGCGCTCGAGCGTCATGCTGTCCAGGTTGGTCAGCATCGCCTGAATGTACGCCCAGAACAGCTGGCGTACACACACGGAGCGCTACATGTCAATCATCTGGGCTTACATTCACACTTGTATGGCTACGTTGCAACTTCTGTGGCTTCTGATGTCATAATAACCCAAGTCAACCACACCTCTCGCCTCCGCGTTAACGTTACCTGCATCTTCTCCTCCCTCTGCTGCGTCTGCGTGGTGGTGTTGGAGTCGTGTTCGTCGTCGCTGTCGATCATCATGACGGCGCCTCGCTCCATCTTGTCTTTGCAGGAGGACGCCGTCTCCAGCACCGTGTAGCGGCCGGCGCTTTCCTCGCGCAGGACGCCGTGCTGCTGCCACAGCGCCAACTTCCTGTGCACCGCCTCCTTGGGCACGCTCAGCGCGGCGCTCAGCTCCTCCAGGGTCCAACTACCTGAAATGCACAGGACACGATAGTCATCGCCAGACTTGTCAGTGACACCTAGTTGTCATGCCGCATTATGGAAAACGACTTTGTCATATTTGAATCACAATCGTTTTGAGTGTCTGAAGCATTGTGAAATGCACAAAAGGTGTCGGTTGGGAGGACATAAGATGAAAAGTCTGACTTTTATCCTGGAAGTGCAGGATGATGGCGGCGTGCAGCGGTGACACAGTGACATTGCTGATGGTTCTGTCCTCCAGCTCCACATCCAGTGTGACCGAGCCCAAGTGAGGCTTCCAGCTCAGAGTCCGCATGGCCTGATGCAAACGCAAAAACGGGAAGTGGAAAAAAAAAAAAAACCATCAGATCTGCAAAAGGAATCGGCTCACCATGACATAAAACTAGTCTTGCTTTGAAATTAAATTACTTGATTTAAAACCACATTAGCACTTGTTGTGCTAATGAATTTAGTTCCAATTTTATAACCAATCCAGAAAATTTATGTTCATCTATTAACTCATTCACTCCCAAAGACGTTTTTAAACGTCTTTTCAGACTTGGTCCAGAATTGGCTGGTACTGAATGAGTTAATTATAGTATTGACTTGTGACTGCTCCAAGAGCCCTGCGTTAGTGTTAGCTTTGGTGTATGTTAACGATTAAGGCGGGCGTGCATTACCTTGAGCTTCTCGTATCGTCGCGTGTAGTCGTCGGTGGCGCGTCGCACGACGGCGGGCATCTCCATCTTTTCCTCCTTCAGCTGCGGCCAAAACTCCGACGACAGAATGATGGCCGACAGCCACTGGGGTGGCCGAGGCTCTGCCCCTTCCTGCCGTGGCTCCTCCTCTTCCTCCTCGCAGATGTTACTGTTGATGCGGCGGGAGTCAGCCATGTCCTGCGCTCCGACACGCAAGGAAGCAAAGGACGTCAAATGGCGAGTTGCTTTTGATCGCGCGCTTCTGACAACTCTTCATTTACACTTTTGTGGTAATCTTTTCACTTTTGAGCTTACATTCATCCGGTTTCGCTGATTGACTAAATATCACCTTTATATGGGCTTGCGCTTTGCGGCAACATTTTGTAGCTTCTCTTACCCGCGCCACACTTAGCGAAGTGAAGCACTTAATTATTGTTTTTCTGCTTCTTACCTTGAGCATGACCTCACAGTAGTGCATGTGCGACTCTCCAAAGCGAAGTTTCAGCAGCTCCACATTCCTGATTTCCCTGCAAACGCACGAGAGACGCAACGTGGTAATGGCGTGACGTGGGCCCCCGACCCCCGCTTGGGTCACGTGCCGGCGTCATACCTGGCGGTGTTGTAGTTGAGCTGGTAGAGCAGCCTGTCGGCTAGCACAGTGCGGTACTCGTTGATGAAGATTTCCTTGCTGCCGTAGATGCTCACTAGCAAGCTGATGATGTCCGACGAGCGCCGCTTGGAGCCTGACTTGTCTGACGTGCAAAAGGAAGGATATGAGGCCACGTTCACCGTTGCAACAAAAGAGAAACCAGGACACAAAAACATCCCATCTGCAGAGGACGCGTTCGCTGACCTGCCAGGGCATCGGTGGGGTCGGGGGTCCAGCCCTCTGGGTCGCCGCCTTCCTCGTCGCTGTCCTGCATCTCCAGCGTGACGGGGTCGCCTCGGGAAAGCTCCGACGCCAGGTCGGTGCAGCCCGTCACCGCGTCGCCCGTCAAGCCATCCACGATCTGACGCACCGTGTCCTCACGGGTCCTGAAAAAGCCCAAATGCGCGCTTACTCGTCTTGCAACTTCACACACATGGCCACTTGAACGTCATTTGAGTTGACGGTTGACTGACAGCTATCTCAGCCTCGCGTGCATAATTGATTGAGAGACCTGAGATACTTCCTGATGGGCTGGCAGGCGACCTGCAAAAGCACCATAGACGGGTCCAGTTCTCGAAGGGTCTTGATGGCCGAGATGTAAACGGTGAGGATGTCTGACGTGTGGACGCCTGACGAAATGAAAACAGTCTTCATTACGATACCGCGCCTTTAAGACCCCGCTCATTAAAGGACAAAAGGGAGTGTGGGGAGCTCACCCGGGTGCAGCAGGCGATTCTCAAAAGTAGACTTGAGTGACGTGAGGAGCTGCTGGCGCTGGTTGGTTCTTTCTAAACAGAACTTGAGATCTTCAATTGCAGCTTTGGACTCTGGGAAGTCTAAACGAGACAACATTTTAAAAAAGATACATATATTGACATACATATACACACACACAATTCATTCTCACAAGCGCCTTTGGCATTATGCTGACCTCTGATGATGCTGAACAGTTCGTCGATCCTCATGTTGACATAGATCCTGCAGAAGAACTGATGCATATGACATCGCCACTGCTTCAGCACCGAGCTCGCCGGGGCGGCGTGACCCGGGGGACCATCGTGGACCTCCTGATTGTAGAACACCTGACCTAACCAGCCCACCACCAGCTCCAACCACTGCGGGACAAGGGAGCACATGACGCTTTCTATTCGTCAACCGGAAGCAACTGTTTCCTGTCACCCACAAATGTTTGACAGGTACGCAGGCGTGGACGAGGCTCTCGTCCAGCTTCCCTGTGAAATTCAGCTTTGTAAACCACTGTACTAATGAACAGACCCCTAACGGTGGCTGCGTTGCATCACTTTGGGTTTGAGATCAGCACAGCTTTCGAGTAGAAGATAAAGATCAGGTCTGGCGACCAGTTCCGGGTATAGCACACCCACTGCCCGAAGACAGCTGGGATAGGCTCCAGCGCGCCCGCGACCCTCGTGAAGATAAACGATTCAGAAAATGGATGGATGCATGGATAAAAATTAGCGAGATGCAATGGTCAAGTTCTGGCACCTCACGTGAGCAGAATATGTATGATGTAAAGGGAGTAAATGTTGTGGCGAGAAGTAGAAAGTGTATGTCGCATTGTCTTGTCACATTACACACTGTCGTGTAGGTCTGCTGCTCGAAGCCGGTGGGCAAGATGCTTTGAGAAGGAGCTCACCTGTTGGAAGTCATCCAGGAAGGATCTCTCGTACTCGCCGCGGCAGTGCTGCTCCAGCCACTGCTCGATGAGGCGGTGCAGAATGGACGTGACTGCATCGCAGCTAACCCACTCCAGGAGCTCAACCCTGGACCTGGAAAAGAGTGCAAGGTTGCAACTAGGCCTACACCAACCAACCATTTTTTGAAAAAGCCATTCTGTTGTTTATTTTTGGGGGGCATCATTGAAAAAAACAATTATTTTAATTGGTACAGTCCAAAATGGGACATGATTTCAAATTGACGGTACAGAAAATGCACAAACAAGCGGATTGTGTTTCCGGTGGGTCATTCCTCAGTTAGCCAGTTTGACAAAAAAAAAACAAAAAAAAAAAAGTAAGGGCTTGTCTCACAAAAAACTTCAAGGCACTCATATCTCAAAACACGGCTTTGCTTTCAAAAGTGGGACTCAAAAGAGTTGTGTTTGCACTCACAGGATGTGGCCGAGCTCCTGCAGATTTTTGAGAGCCTCCTGGCACCAACACTCGTCAATGGGCACCCCGCATCCGCCGCAGGCGTTCGTTCCCTCCGGGTCCTCGGAACCTTGGGCGCGGGCCTCGCCGTCCCCGTGGGCGTGGCCCTTCCGTGCGATGTAGACGGAAAAGGTTCTGCTGTAGAAGTCCAGCACGCGATCTTGTAGAAGCTGTGAGGGCGGGAAGAGGAGGAGGCCCCTGATGATGGTGAAGGCTCGCTCCTGGAGGCCGAGAGGCCCAGGGCCACAAACATCTGCCTGGCCCTCATCTTGCCACGGCCCCAAACGTTCCAAGCCCACTGCAAGAAGGAGGAGGAGATAATTTTCTTTTTTTTTTTTTTTTCCTCCAAAGGCACAACTGAGATGAACAAAGTAAGCGGTCTCGTGAATGACACAACATATTACTGGAAAATTTTTCAGTTGACTTCCCCTTTCAGAAACCAAAAAACAAATCCTTTTAGTCATTATCTGTCAAGTATCAGCATCAGGCTGAAAAAAAAATTCTATAGCGCTCGAGCCCTCATGATAATAATCCCTCGATTTTATACATGACTACAGAATAGGCGCAGTGTGCTCAACTTGCCCAAAAACGGCTCCAATCGTTCCAGTAGCGTCCGGAAAGTAGTGAGGAGAACCCAGACCCGACCCCTCTCATCCACTTCATTCTCCACCTGCTTGAGTCCGCACCAGAACTCAGGAACCACAGAGGAGGACAGACGCATCTGCAGTGTCTCCAGCAGCCAACTGGCCAGAAGCTGAGCAGCGCCCTGACTGCACAACACCTCCACACTGGCCGACAGCTCGTAATTCTTCGGGCTGCCACCTGGAGACAACTGAACCACAAAAAGCACACGTTGGAGCATTTTGACAACATCCAGCATATCCAGCATCAGGCAGCCCTGTACTAGTAGACTTTGTTTGGTCTCACTAGTACACCAACTCTGGTGCAATACGTGTGTTAAATAAAGCCAACCGCAGATGCTAATAAAAGCTCTTTTATTTGCGAGGGCCAATGAAGCAAACGGGAACGAAGAGGAGCCAAAAGTCTTCTACTGTAGTTGCAAAGTGTTGTTTTTCAACCGAAGCCTCACCAGAGCTGCTGTGACGTTTTCCCAAGCTTCAGCTACACCGAGCTGAGCTTCACATCCACAACCTTCAGCGGATTCCATCACAACTTCATCCATCCCTGTGTATACATTTATTTGTATTTTTACACTAAATGGCAGCAACCCAGCTGCAAATATGAGCTGGTTTAAGTATTTCGACGAAGCTAATCAGTCGGTTTGTTTTGGATGAACCGCACGCTCCATCGGTCTGCTTGACAATTTTTGTGCCGTTTTTCCTTTCCGTCTTCTTCTTTGTATGCTTTTAATCTGTACTTCGTGGCAACGGCGACACAGTGCTTCCCCCAACAGTCACAAAGAAAACATTACAACAACTCCAGCCGTTGTTTTAACTATTACATACGTGTTATAACATGGTTAGAATATCTTCTTAAAACACCGTAGAACCCTATTAAATTATATCGGAACCTTATTAATGGAATATTTGGGACAAGACGCGGTTAAAGCTTGATGCATCCCATTTAATGTGAACCTTCTAAAAGCTTGTTGGAGCCTTGTAGAAGCTTTTTAGGACCAAGAGCATTGATAAAACAGAACATTGGATCCTTGTTCAAGATTGTTGGAACCTACCGGATGTCATGATTCCGTTCTGTTAAGTCTCCAGCATGTGGGAAAAACATTAGATGGGTGTTTTGTAACCTGGATTTACAAGGCAAAACGAACTCAAAGTCACCTCAACCCTAAAGTCAAACTGAGCACGTATGTGACACTTATCCTGTTACAACTTGAAACCTGTCATGCCGTGATTACAACATTGCAAAACATTCAAAAGCGTATCAGAATGTTGTACGTCCTTAACGCTTTTAGAATATTGTCGAACCTTAGTGAAATATGATGGAACATTTTCAAAGTGTGTGATTTGGGGTATTGGATCTAATTTCCTTTACAGTGTGTACAGTGTTTATTTGTGCATGAATCTCGAGTCTGTAAATAAAGGTGATTTATTTTTATGTCAGATAATGCAGTGTTACTCATTTATGACCAAACAAGTATTGTTCGAACGTCCAAATGAAATGCGTAGGAAAAAAATGGAATGTAATCGCGTTGCCCACGGATAGGGGGCGCTGGCTGCACAAAGACGTCACGTGTGTGTAGTAAAGCGACCCTAGAAGAAGTAACAGCGGCGTCCTGAGGCAAACAATCATGGCGGCGACGGAGAGCGAGTGAGTTTGTGCACAACTTGTTTGGAGAAAAAATGGCAACCTGATGACATTTCAGCCACAGTCCGACGTACAAACGTTGTACGGTTGAGTGCTTTGCCCTGCAAAACGAGTGGCGGCCATCGCCAGCCAAGCAACCTCTCGGCTAACGGGCTAAAGCTAGCCGATTTGACTGCAGCTAAAACATGACATGACAACATGAAGTCTTGTGTTTTACAAGCAACTAGAGAATGTTCGAATATTTGGATTTGTGAATTACTTTGACAGACACGATTCTTATTCTTCCTCCTCTCATTCTTCCACCCCCGTCATCCTCCCTCCATCCCTCCTCCTTTTCCTTGTCCTTCTTACTCAGGGTTCTGTGTGAGATTGAGGTGCTGCAGTCCATCTACTTGGATGACCTGCGTGTCACCAGGACACACGACAGGTGACCAACCTTATCATAATGATGATGATCAAATCAGATATTTTTCTTGAGCTCAATGTTTTGTTGTATTCAGGCGTTGGGAGGTGAGCCTGGTTCTGTACCCGTCCACAGCCGAAGATTCTGGATCGCAGTTTGTCCGACTCGGCTTGACGCTAACTCTCGATGACCAGGTGACGCACACTTCGTGATAACATGTTTATATTTTTTACTCGCATGGAGAATATTAACTCACAATGTTGTGTACTTTCTGCATGTGTGTTCAGTATCCTTGCTCATCTCCTGTCATCTCCATACACAACCCGCGAGGACTCTCTGACCACAAGCTCAGCAGGTAACGCGCTCCACCTAACCTTGTTACCGCCTTGGAGAACGTTCCAAAAGCCTATGCGATAGTTGCGTGAGTTTCTTGGCAGCTTGTTTGAGCATGTGGAACCCTGTTGAAACTTCTTGCTTGAAAACATTTTCAAACCATAAAACTTGTTGGAATACTGTAGAAACTCAAATGTTCATTGAAGTTGCTTGTTGCATGATGACTGTGATGTTTTGTTTTAGCCTTCAGCGGAGTCTTGAGCTCGAAGCCGAGTCGTGCGTGGGCTCACCCGTCTTATATCAGCTGATTGAGGTCACTGCCGTCACCCTTTACCTCAAACAGGAAGTTCAACCTTTTCAACCTTTTTTTTCCCCATTTCGTCCTCCAGAAAGCCAAAGAAATCTTGACTGAAAGCAACATTCCCCACGGGAACTGTGTCATCTGCTTGTACGGTTTCAAGGTCACCTTCAGCTTCTTCCCTTTTTGTCCACTCACCTTGCACAACCTGGAAGACTTTTATAATGTTATCACACTTGCTGCTTGACTGTCCAGGAGGGGGAGTCGTTCAGCAAGACGCGCTGCTATCACTACTTCCACTCTCACTGCCTGGGTCGATATGCTCGCCACTCGGAGGAGGAGATACGCCTCCGCCAGCAGGAGATGGCAGACGACAAGACGGCCACGCAGCATCAGGTTGGACGACAGCCTCAATGACATCGCCCAGGGCCGTCACACTCATTTTAGTTCTGGGGCCGCATGAATCGCAAGTTGATAAGAAGTGGACCAGAGAAATTTGCTCATGAATGCTGAAAAGCTGAACTGAATTCATTTTGGAATGATACGAAGCAATCTGGAATGTTATTTGCAATCCTGAATGAGCCGAAGCGTTTTAGGATCAATTGGTTTGAAACAGTGCAGAAATGTGGTCATCAGAGGGGAAAAAAAGACATCTGTTTAGTTTGGACTTTAATTTTGAAAAATTATTTAGTCGTCATTTTAGACGATTTTTCAAAATAATAATTTTAATTTGTGGAAAAAAATTGGATGTTCCGTGTCCCTCAGGAGCTGACGGTGGTTTGTCCCGTGTGCCGCGAGCCTCTGACCTACGACCTGGGCCAGTTGATGGCCAGCGCTGCGCCACAGCTGCCCGAGGTAAAACAGGAAGCGAGCGGCGCACTAAACAGGAAGTGAGGACTAAAGCGTGTTCATGGTCACCCAGCTGGACGGCGCCGCCATCCGCTCCAAATTCCGGCAGAAGTGGCAAGAACTTGAGAAGGTTCTGGACAGGCAACGCAGTCGAGGAGGTGTCATCGATCCCGAGGAGGAGTCCAATCGCTTCCTCATCCACATCAATGAGGTGATGTGTAGGATCTGTCGGAACCCTGTTGAAGCTAAGAACCTTTTGTGAGCAGCTTGTAAATGTTATCAACACATTGTAGAACCTTGTCAATCCCTGGAGCAGCTTGTTCAGGACATTTTTGACTTCAGGAGCTGTAATGTTTGTGTTTCTCCGTAGGCTCCTCCACTTTCTCCTGATGGCGACGGAGTTGTGGACCCTTCGCGAACCGCTACCTGTGAGCTTCCTCCCCCAGCGCAGCACTTTCCTCCGCCGCCAACGCATTGCACAAGCACTCACGGGCAGCCTCAGGCCCACAAGCGCCACAGCCATGGCAGGGGTCCCAGGAGAGGAAGCGGGCCCCGAATGCATCACATCAAAGGTGGTGCCCCCATCTCTGAACACCTGGACTCGCTCTGTCTATCATCGGACCCTGCCGAGGGAGCGCCCGGCACCACACGTGACAGCGTGCATGCAAACTTGACTCTTCGCCAAACAGGAAGTCACCCTTCTTTTTCTTCTGACAAGCATACGGCAGGGGGGCACACTCAGCGGGCTCGCAGAAGGGGCCCGCAACACGCGCCCCTCAGGGGGGCCCCTCAACACCACCGCTGGGACACTCGGGGACCGAGAAGGGGGGGGTCCTACCAGCAGAGGGTTGGGGGACCAGAGGAGGAGCTCTGACACACACTCTTGTGGTGTGGTGATACAAAATGAAATAAAGCTAATGAACTAATTACAGTTTGCACAATGTATTATTATTTTTTTATACATTTATCTAATCAAATAGTTAAATGCTTCGGTGTAAATAAGAAAAAAAATCTAGCAAAGTAATTTTACATTTGTTCAACACTTTTTACTCAAATAAGTCACTGGTTAATCAGTTAAACATTGAACATTGAAAAGTACCTTATTTGATCAACAATTTCAGCAGCCTTGTGCAAGGAAGGCCCTCTATTTTAGATGTATTCCATGAAATTGTTTACATTTATTCACCACACACCATTTCTCTCTGGGTACATGTATGTGGATAATTTGTGTTTTTTTTTTCTTCGTCAGATGGCATTTCAATTTAAATGTTACCATGTCGCGGTAGTTATTTTGGTCGAATGGCAGATGAGCGTCAGGGTTATCATGTCAAATTAATCTGCCCCCAACGTAACTTCAATTTTTGCCATTGGACGGTCGGTTTCTTTAACCAATCAAATTTCAAATATGCTCCTACTTACTTTCTTAATCAAGAGTTTTTGGTGGTTATTAATTTTTCCCCCCTCGTTTTGTCGTTCGTTCGGGACGCCGTGTAAACGCTCATGGGACTTATTTTTGCTCGTGAATAAACGGTTCAGAGAATGATGCGTAACATTTTTTTTTGTAACCAACCGTCGAGTGGAACCGTGCGTTATGACGTCACACGAAAGCGACGTGTCGGCCATGTTTTAACTTTGTTGTTGAGCGCGCTTGTTTTCAAGCTGAAGAAGAGCGGCACGTGAGCACAACCAAACAGAACCGAACCGTGACGGACAGGCGGCCATGGATCCGGATATGGACTCGTGTCCCGCGGTGAGTGAGCGCGGGGACGCGGACGTCGGCCTCCGCACGGCGTGCTCGTCGAACGGCAGCGGTGGAGAGGACGACGACGCCGAGGCCGAATCAGAGGCTCACGGCCGGGAGGCGGGAGACGGCGGCGGCTGCCAACACGCCCCGGAGAGGACCGCCCTGCTCGGCGGAAGAGAGCAGGAAGTGTCGGTAGAGATCGGAGAAACCTATTTGTGCCAGCGAGCCGATAAAACTTGGCGTAAGTTGTTAGCATGTTATGGTGCGCCGGCTAATGTGGATTCCATGATCCTGATTCACATCGGAACATTCGCTTGTAGGTGAGGGAATCTGTAACCGTTATTTTGTGAACCCTTCAAACCAAACAAGGACGTAACGTCATTATTATGATCAGGAAAAGCAATGCACCAAACGATGTCATCATCACAAAGGGGGTGTGTTTGTTAGCCGCCTAGCCAGGCATAATAATCGATTGCGTGAAAAGGATTGTTTAGGCGTGAGGCAAAGCGGAGTATACGACTTGACTGCATCTAGCCATCTACTACCATTTGCTGTTTTGTGTTTTCTTTTTTGAATTGTGTCGTTCAGTTTTTACTTGCCTTCACTTTTATAATTACCACTTTTTAAAAACGTTTTCTTTGCCGGTTAACTTTAATTTCACTTTACTTTTTGACTTAACTACTTTTTGTGTTTACATTTCACAGTTTTTCAATATACTCCTTTTCCCTTTTTAACTTTACTCCTTTTTATAACTATGTATTTTGTTAGACTCTACTTTTTTTTTTTTTTACTTATTTTACTTTTTTTAGCTTTACTTTCTTTGCGTTACTATTTGGGGGTGGCATGGTTCAGTGGTAGAGTGGTCCTTTCCCAGCCCAGAGGTTGGTGATTCGATCCCTGGCCATTGCGACCATGTGAAAGTGTCATTGAGCAAGTTACTGAACCCTTAGTTGCTCCTGATGCTGCGTCATCAATAGGTGAATGAGGTAACAGCGTGAAGTAGTTTTAGTACCTGAGGTAGAAAAGCAGCCCGTTTACCATTTGAGTATAAAGTTACTCTTGACATAGTTGCATCCCTATTTTTTGTCTTTCTTCGTTAACATTTTTCTTTTGAACAGTAATTGCGTCACTGCTTTTTCACTTCACTGCTCTTAGAATTTTGAGCACGTTTTTGTTCTTCTAATAATGATGTCATCACTCAGCCTTCAAATGTGTCAGGTGTGCAAATGTCTGCAAATTTGGAACGTTTTCAATGTCAATGATGTCTGTTTTGCAGATGCAGCAGAAGTGATTCAGTCTCGACTAAACGAGCAGGAAGGAAGAGAAGAGTTCTACGTGCACTACGTTGGCTGTGAGCGCATGCAAACACACACACACACGGGTGGAGAAGAGAGAGTGAGCATGGTGGGCATGTCGCATGTGTGTGCGGTCAGTCAACAGGCGTTTGGACGAGTGGGTGGGCAAAGCTCGGCTGGCGCTGACCAAGACGGTGAAGGATGCGGTGAGGAAGAGCGTGGAAGTGGGCGGCGTGGGCGACATCGGCGAGCAGCCCGAGCGCAAGATCACACGCAACCAGAAACGCAAACATGACGAGATCAACCACGTGCAGAAGGTCAGCAGGGCGACGCGGGATTGAAACTCGCCGTTTCCTCACCTCCAAAGAATTGTGTTTTTGTTTCTGGTTCCCATTTTTTTCTGTCGCCATGGTAACGGCCGTGAGAACCAGCCGTGTAAGGCCACCGTGTTTTCTTGCAGACATACGCTGAAATGGATCCGACCACGGCGGCGCTGGAGAAGGAGCACGAGGCGGTAGGAAGCGTGTCTGTCTTGGCGGCGCCGGTCTTGGTCCTCCTCACCCTCATCTTCGGCCCACCCGCCCTCTCCAGATCACCAAGGTGAAATACGTGGACAAGATCCAGATTGGCAACTTTGAGATCGACGCGTGGTACTTCTCGCCCTTCCCAGAAGATTACGGCAAGCAGCCCAAACTTTGGATCTGCGAGTACTGCCTCAAGTACATGAAGTACGAGAACACCTTCAGGCACCATCTGGTCAGTAGTCGCCGCCGGCAAGTAAAGAAGTGAAACATTGCAACGATTGTCTTCACCTTGATCCCAATTTGACAATCTCTCGAGAAGCCAATTTGATTTTTGCCTTGTTTTGAGACTGCTACTTTTACATTTGACTTTTAGTAATTTTCCAGTGGGCCTTTTGACCGATTTTACTATTTGCTTGGCTACTTTTTTCACTTTTGACTTGAATACACTTTTTTGGGGTGTTACTTTTTTGACACTAACAACCTTTATTTTTGTTTCACTGCATTTGTCAAAACCTTTTTTGTTGAAGGGGTTGAAAGCTTTTTCTATGTTTGACCTTTTACTTGTTTTGCTTTTATGCGGGAGCATAAAAGCATTTTTACTTGTTTTACTCTTTTGGGGAGCATTTATCTTTGCAAGTTCTATTTTGTGATTTTTTTTTAACTACACTTTTTCACTTGACTAAATTTTTTTAACCTCGTTACTCTTTATGCTTTGGTATGATTTTACTTGACACTTTTGATATATTTTCTTTTAGGGTTCAGGTTATTTTGATGTTTTTTTTAATATGACTTACATTTTAATTTCTTTTTCATGTCACGTGTTTTTTTTTTCCTTTTCCCCTTTTACTTTTTAGTGTACTTCTGTTTTACTGAACCGTTCATGTCACGTTTTACCTTTCCGACGTTTGTACATTTGAACTTTTTTAAACTTCTTTTGAAACTTCAACACATTTTAAAACTTTTATTTTTGTAAACTGTGTGTGTCGGAATCTTTTCGTCTCGCCGTGTGCGACCTGACCTGACGTCAACGTTCATTTTCAGTCCAACTGCCAGTGGAAACAGCCTCCAGGCAAGGAGATCTACCGCAGGAGCAACATCTCCGTCTACGAGGTGGACGGACGCGATCACAAGGTGAGCGGACAGGAACCACGCGCCAGCAACGGGGGAAGCGTGACGTCTCTGCGTGCTCTTGTGCGTTTTTCAGATCTACTGTCAGAACTTGTGTCTGCTGGCCAAGCTGTTCCTGGACCACAAAACGCTTTACTTTGACGTGGAGCCCTTCATCTTCTACATCCTCACCGAGGTCAACAAGCAGGGGGCACACATCGTGGGATACTTCTCCAAAGTAAGACCAGTATGGACGCGTTAGCTCATTGTGTTGTCACCGTGGCAACACTGCAACTTCCGTAGCAGATATGGCGTAAAGTAGCCCGATACCAGCCCTGAAAATGAAACGATACCACGGCGAAAAAGACTAAAACATCAGAAAAACGGCACAATCATAGCCAACAAAAAAAAAAGGATTTGTATTCATTCAAAATAATCTGATGATCAAAACATTTTGAACGTTTGGCTTATATGTAGTGTAGCAGATGATTTAAGTTAAATACAACAGAACTGTTCTTAAAAAATAAAAATATATTTTTTTAGGGAATATTTTTGACCATTTTTTTTTTTTTTGGGCTGACCTTTTCACCCATTTTAGTTTGTGGTGTACTGCTTTTACATTTAACTTCATTTCAGTACTACGAACAGTGATACGGACATTTTCATAACTATCAAAGCCGGATCTCCTAAATGTCAGGCTGCTATTCGTGTTTCCAGGAGAAAGAATCTCCGGACGGGAACAACGTGGCCTGCATCCTCACTCTGCCGCCGTACCAACGTCGCGGCTACGGGAAGTTCCTCATCGCCTTCAGTGAGTGGCCGCTCGCTTGCCATCACGACAACCACGAGGCGCTCTAGTTTGAAGCGCACGTGTGTGCCTACGTTCAGGTTACGAGCTGTCCAAGTTGGAGAGTGCGGTGGGTTCGCCGGAGAAGCCGCTGTCCGACCTGGGGAAGCTGAGCTATCGCAGTTACTGGTCCTGGGTGCTTTTGGAGATCCTCCGAGATTTCAGGGGGACGCTTTCCATCAAAGACCTCAGGTGCACACACACACCCACACACTGGGTAGAAAAAGTGAATCCCGAGAAGCAATAACCATCAAAGCTAAGTTTTTTTTGTTTGTGAAAACTCTGAAAGGGGAGGGAGTGTATTCTTTAAAAATTTTTTAGACTGTGTATATCAAATCATCAAACAGTAATTTCCTGCGGAGCTTGAAAAAGTCACAATGTTCTAAAATGGCCGGCAGTGTTTGGGGGTTCTTAAAGAAGGTGAAAACAAAACAAAAAAATGTTCTTAAAAAAAGTTTTAAGAACATTTGTTTTAAAAAAAAAAAAAAATTGTAAGATGTAAGAGAGAAGGCGACATGGTGGTCGACCGGTTAGCACGTCGGCCTCACAGTACACAGGTGCAGGGTTCGATTCTGGCTCCGGCCTTCCTGTGTGAAATTTGCCTGCGTGGGTTTTCTCCGGGTGCTCCGGTTTCCTCCCACATTCCCAAAACGTGCACGGCAAGTAAATGGACAACTCTAAATTGT